GTTATTACTGGGGAGGACACACAGAAATCTGCGACCAGTAATAACATCCGCCTGGACAGCCGCGACGCCTGGACTACCTAGATCACAGTCGTCACTCACCTAGCTAGTCCACCAAGCACTGGCCACTAAGGGAAAATTTCAGATTTCTATTTATATTTCATATTACACTTGCAATAATTATTATTTTGTTCGATTATTTGTGAACATTTCTTGGCGAACAGATTATTGTCCATAAGTAAACTTACAAGTTCCCAGCATGGAAAGTGTAGTTAATTGTTATAAGCTCTCTATTTTTCTTCTTAGTCATCTCTTCTTTCTGCATGATACGCGAATGTTCACAAGAACATACGTACTTGTGAACATTCTCACATATCTCTCTCTCTCTCTCTCTCTCTCTCTCTCTCTCTCTCTCTCTCTCTCTCTCTCTCTCTCTCTCTCTCTCTCTCTCCACACACACACACACACACACACACACACACACACACACACAGTTCTCCATTTCCACATATACATTCACATGTACACACATATTATGTGTACACACACACACACAAGTTCTCCATTTCCACATATACATTCACATGTACACACATATATGTGTACACACAACACACGTTTCTCCATTTCCACATATACATTTCACATGTACACACACATTATGTGTACACACCACACCACACAGTTCAGCATTTCTACATTATACACGGACAAATTTTGCAATTCACATAATCCTTTGTCTGGAGAGAATGTTCACATTTATACAAAACACATTAATTCTCTCATTTTAAAGTTACTAGCTGTATATAAACTCAAATATACACGCACACACATATGAACAAAAAACTATTAAGAATAAAAATTTAATGGGTGTGTATACATATACGTGTATATATATAATATATATATATATTATATAATTATATATATATAATATTATATATATATATATATATATATGTCGTGCCGAATAGGCAGAACTCGCGATCTTGGCTTAAATAGCAACGCTCATCTTGCCATAAAGGACAAGCGAAAATTTGTGTATGCAATAATTTCGCCAAAATCATTCTGAACCTAACGAAAAAAATATATTTCACTGTGTTTGTTTAGTATTAAATTATTGTCAAGAAATCTAAAATATATTTAGTTGGGTTAGGCTAAAATAAATTGTTCTTCTTATAAGGTTAGGTAAGTTTTCTAAGTTTCTTTTGGAGCAAAATTAAAAATTTTTACATTAACATTAATGAAAAAAATATATCTTTAAACGTATAAGAGAACATTTTAGAAAGGACTTAATTTTAAATGAGTTCTTGCTAAATGACCAGTTTTACATATTCGGCACGACATATTTATATATATATAAATATATATGATATAAAAACATATATATAAAAAAAATGTAATATATATATATAATATATATATATAAGTAGTCAACTTTCTTCTGGGGGAGGAACTTCCGGTTTGGGCCTTTCACTGGGCGAGGAACTTCCGGTTTGGGCCTTCCACAGAGCGAGGAACTTCCGGTTTGGGCCTTCCACTGAGCGAGGTAACCGGGCTAGGACCAGGAGCTGGAGGGTCACCTTTTCACACCTAGATGTTACTTCCAGTTTTGACCATGACCTCGCCCTCGAGACTACCTCACCCTTGACCCCCCAACCAATACCCCCGCCCACGACCCCTCCCCCCCCCTTCGCGACCCCCGCCCGCGCGCCCACCCACGCGCCCGCCCGCGCGCCCGCCCTTCGCGACCCCCGCCCGCGCCTTCTGCTGCGCCTTCTGCAGCGTCGTCCGGATCGCCCCCGCGCCTCGAATTTTTTTCCTTATGATCTCCTTGGATCAAGGTTTTTGGATTCTCCCCCCTATGGGGTTTTCGAAATTCTCCATCTCCTCGGATCAAGTTTTTTTGATCCCCCCTATGGGGTTTTCGAAATTCTCCATCTCCTCGGATCAAATTTTCTTGACAATACCATGACTCCATCTCCTCGGATCAAGTTTTTTGGATCCCCCCTATGGGGTTTTCGAAATTCTCCATCTCCTTGGATCAAGTTTTTTTTGGATTCCCCCCTATGGGGTTTTCGAAATTCCTCGGATCAAGTTTTTGGAATCCCCCCCCTCTGGGTATAAGCATTCAAAATAGACTCCTCCTATGGGGGCATGCTTACTACAGGTCTAATGAAGGGTGTTTACTCGGCGGTCAGTGACGTCAGTATTCCTCTCATTAAGTTAAATGAACTAAAAAGGACCACGCGCACACAGGTTGAATCTTGTATACCCTTTTAATTAATAAGGGGACATAGCAGTGACGTCACGCGCACACAGGCTGAATCTTGTCGATCCTTTTAGTTCATTCAAGTTAATAAGGGGACACATTTTTTCGTTAATACCCACAATTTCTTTACAACACAAGTCTAGACATTTTTCATCCCAGGTCACTCCCCACGAAGTAACCTCCTCCCCACCCTCCCAAACCCTCACACTCCAACCAACACCTCACAATTTTCACTCATAACCCCCAATTTTTCTCGTTTTAACCCTTTTAGTTCATTAAAGTTAATAAGGGGACACATGCATCAGAAAGTCACCACATCGCTTACATCCACTTTCGTTAAATTCACTACTCACAATTTTACATATTACGAAGTTAAATACACACTTTTACTTTGAACATCTTCAAAACACTCTCATAAATCATTTGAATACTCACAAAAAATACCTTTATACATTTCCAAACAACACTGAAATACTCCAAAAACATCATTCGAACACCCCAAATCACCTCTGAATACTCCCAGAACACCTTCATAAGTACTCTTGCACATCATTTGAACACCTTCATAAGTACTCTCATAATCATTTGTACACCTTCAAAAAACACCTTTGAATACTCACATAAACACCCTTGAACACCTTCAAAGCACTCTCATAATCATTTGAACACACTCAAAACACCTTTGAATAACCTCAAAACACCTTTGAACACCTTCAAAACACCCTTGAACACCTTCAAAACACCCTTGAACACCTTCAAAAACAACATTTGAACACACTCAAAACACCTTTGAACACCTTTGAACATTTCCAAAACACTATTTGAGTACTCCCAAATAAGATTTGACATCTCTAATTTATCTGCACTTACACATTTCATTAAATTACAACTCATCCCTCAGTCTCCAGACTTCACAACATTATCACAAAAACTAACTCAAACACTTTACTTTGAACACCCCCAAAAACACTCTCATAATCATTTGAATACTCACATAAACACCCTTGAACACCTTCAAAACACCTTTGAATATCGTTTTTAAACTAATTTCATCACAACCCACTTATATCATCTTTTTTCGGTAACTCTAATTCGACTACACTACCCTCATCAATTACCAACAAATTTTACTCGTTTTAACTAATGTCATCACTGTAACCAAGATTTTCACAAAAAAAAAAACTCTATGACACCTAACACACACGCACACACACCCCACAACACCCACAATTTTTCTCGTTTTAACCCTTTTAGTTCATTAAAGTTAATAAGGGGACACAGTACATCAGAAAGTCACAACAACAACATCCACAACCCACAATTTTTTCTCGTTTTAGCTAATTTCATCAGAAAAAGTCCCAACAACAACCCACTTATAACATCTTTTTTTCGGTATCTCTAGTTCGACAACAACACCCACAACACCCACATCCCACAACACCCATGAACATTTCCAAAACACTATTTGAGTACTCCCAATTACACCACTGATTACTACTAAAACACCACTGAATTCAATCAAAACGCCCTTCAACACCTTCAAAACACTCTTGAACACTTTCAAAAACACCTTTGAACATTTCCAATCAACACTGAAACACTTCCAAAAAACACAATTTGAGTACTCCCAATTACACCACTGAATACTACTAAAACACCGCTGAATTCAATCAAAACACCCTTCAACACCTTCAAAACACCTTTGAACACCTTCAAAACACCTTTGACACCTTCAAAACACTCTTGAACACCTTCAAAAAACACCTTCGAACATTTCCAATCAACACTGAAACACTTCCAAAAACACAATTTGAGTACTCCCAATTACACCACTGAATTCTACTAAAACACCGCTGAATTCAATCAAAACACCCTTCAACACCTTCAAAACACCTTTGAACACACTCAAAACACCTTTGAACACCTTCAAAACACCCTTGAACACCCTTGATCACCTTCAAAAAAAAAACAACATTTGAACACACTCAAAACACCTTTTGAACACCTTTGAACACTTCCAAAAAAAAAACACAATTTGAGTACTCCCAATTACACCACTGAATACTACTAAAACACCGCTGAATTCAATCAAAACACCCTTCAACACCTTCAAACACCCTTGAACACCTTCAAAACACTCTTGAACACCTTCAAAAACACCTTTGAACATTTCCAAAACACTATTTGAGTACTCCCAATTACACCACTGATTACTACTAAAACACCGCTGAATTCAATCAAAACACCCTTCAACACCTTCAAACACCCTTGAACACACTCAAAACACCCTTCAACACCTTCAAAACACCTTTGAACACCTTCAAAACACCTTTGAACACCTTCAAAACACTCTCATAATCATTTGAACACACTCAAAACACCTTTGAATAACCTCAAAACACCTTTGAACACCTTCAAAACACTCTCATAATCATTTGAACACACTCAAAACACCTTTGAATAACCTCAAAACACCTTTGAACACCTTCAAAACACCCTTGAACACCTTCAAAAAAACAACATTTGAACACACTCAAAACACCTTTGAACACCTTTGAACATTTCCAAACAACACTGAAACACTTCCAAAAACACCATTTGAGTACTCCCAAATACACCACTGAATACTAAAACACCACTGAATACACTCAAAACACCACCAAAATCACCATAAACTAAGATCAACACCCAATGCTTCTGGTGTATTTAATGCAAGGTCTATGAAATAAATAACCAAAGGGTGATCGTTTTATAGCAGATTTATATATATTTACAAATTCCTTATTTTTTCCGAACACTTGTCGCCCCAGAATCTCTACTTGTCCAAGATCCCTCATTTTAAATAAAGCAAAATGCGTGGCGTTTAAAGCCATGGTACGACTATATCGTCCTCCGTGAAATATATTTTGAGTAATCAGAATAATGCTTATATTATGATGTCTACCTTTAGTAAAACATTCGAGAATAATTTCACTGTTACCTGCTTTTAAAAATAGATCATCAACAATAATTATTGTATTTTCATCAGGTGATGCAATGACATTCTGCGGGTCGATAATATCGTTACTTAATGTTAATTTATGAGTTATCTCTGAATCTTGTTCTAAGGGATGTGATGTCACCCCGCATATTATAATGTTATGAAATTTCTCGTGGTATAACTTTATTAATTTTGATGTGAAATAAGATTTGCCACTATTCGAATAACCGGCAATGATAATCCTTGATGGATAACGAAATATATCAACGTCATCAGATGTGTATGTTGTCAAGTTCAACATCTTCCCCTTATTATTTTAAAATTGATCTAAAAGCTTCCTCTCTTTAAGTTGAATGAACTAAAAAGGGTGTTTACCATAGAGAGGCGTCTTGTACACTGTAAGTCTTAATGGGTTTTCAAGATATATAATACTTTTAGTTCAATAAGGGGACACAGTTAATGTGGAGCAGGACTGCCTCACCAAAATTAGTTGCTTTAGGGTGGCGATTGACCCAGGTGTTCATGATTATCTTAAATCTACCTTGGGTGTGAACCGCATTTCATGGCGCCTGTCTGTCCTGAGTTGACGCAGGTGTTATGTTCTACCTTGGGTGTGAACCGCATTACGCCATGTGTTGGGGTGACCCACAATGAGTCTCTCAGAGTGAGGACAGTGCTTCCATCCGTGACTGACCTCATCTTCCCCATATTATTTTAAAATGAACTAAAAGTTTCCTCTCATTAAGTTAAAGGACCTCATCTTCCAACGCTGAACCGCATATCATGCTGTCTGTCTGACCTGTGTTGACCCAGGTGTTCGGTAAGGCGATGATTATCTTAAATCTACCTTAGGTGTGAACCGCATTACACCATGTGTCGGGGGGAGGGGGCGGCCTATATAAGCTCAATGAGACACTCAGAGCGAGGACAGTGCTTCCATCCATCATCCGTGATTGACCTCATCTTCCCCATATTATTTTAAAATGAACTAAAAGTTTCCTCTCATTAAGTTAAAGGACCTCATCTTCCAACGCTGAACCGCACATCATGGAGAAAGGTAAGTTGTACTTAGAAAATTCTTGTTTTTGCATGTTTAATTTTTGTTGAAGCATACGAGTGAAATGTTTACTGGGTTAGTGCGTTAATAAGTGAAATGTTTACTGGGTTAGTGCGTTAATAAGTGAAATTTTTAATGTGTTAAATAAGTGAATTGGTGAAGAGGAGATTGTTAGAAAATTCTTGTTTTTTTTACATGTTTAATTTTTGTTGAAGCATACGAGTGAAATGTTTACTGGGTTAGTGCGTTAATAAGTGAAATTCTTAACAGGGGATAGCATATATTCGAAATACTTGGAAGCATTGGTGAAGAGAAGATTATCGATTAGAAAGCAGCGTTCGTTGGTAATCGAGAAAGGCGGTGTACAACGCAATGAAAGGTTATTGCAATTGGATAATGAGTGGGCACGTGTAGATGCTTTATGGAAGAAGGCTATAGAAACAGGTATGTAACCAATTTGTGATCTTTTGTTGTGCTAGTCACTCGAGAAAAGATTTTTTGTTCTATTCATTGAAATCTTAATATTTTTGGGTTATGAATTGGATGTGCTTGTTTTTCCTCTGTTCATTGAAATCTTAATATTTTTTGGGTTATGAATTGGATGTGCTTTTTTTTTCCTCTGTTCATTGAAATCTTAATATTTTTTGGGTTATGAATTGGATATACTTTTTTTCCTCTGCAGGAAATACACCTGGTAGTAATGGCGCACAGCTTGGTGGTGAGAGTGCTAGTGTTGGTACCTCACAAAGCGGAGGTGCGGGTACTTCTGTCTCCATTAATGATGATGAGAGAGCAACTACCTCGCATGACGTGTCTGACACGCATAATAGTGAAGATGAGACCCCAGAAGTTATTACATATATCCAGAATTTTAGAGGTAGACATACAGTGAGGAAATATAGTGTTCCTTCAACTTATAACAGAGTTAAGAATGTATTTACATGTTTATAGGGATTATTTTATAGAACAGATGCGAGATATGTATGATAGATCGCCTCTAGCAATGTCGCTCAGAATCCACCCAATTATAGTTATAAGGACATTACGTCAAAACATATCGGGTGATGATCAAAATGGACAATTTGTGATAAATTTAGCGTTTGAGTTAGTAAGTGAAGAGGAAATCTCTGAAGTATTTGATCGATGGGTGGGAACAATATTAGAAAGATACGAGTCAGACTTGCAAGATCAGGAAGGATCTGGCTGGATCATAGATCAAATCGAATCTTTCAGTATCGAATACGTTAAGGTAGAATTCAGAGTGGGAGTGGGGTCATATGTGGCATATCCCGAGAAACTGCGAGGGAAGAAATATGTATTTAATCCAGAGATTAATGATGGGTTATGTGTACTGCGTGCTTTTGCCGCCTATCAATGTCATAAAAAGAATATGTCATGGGATCATATTCGCAGAGCAGTTAATACTAAGAATGGATATCTTAATCATGCAAAATCTTCTATAGATGATTTCCCCATTACGCGTGATAAGTTAGGTATATTAGAGAAGGAAAAAAAAAGTGTCATTATATGTTTATCAATTAAGAAAGGATCAAGATAGGACATTTATGGCTATGTGTCGTAAGGGGAATAAGAAATATAAGGACATTATGTGCGCGTTATTGTTGAATGAAAGACATTTGGTTTTAATCAAAGATTTTGACGGGTATGTTAGAACGATAATGACAGAAAAAGGTGTAAAGAAGCACTGTCATAGTTGTTTGATGAAGTTGAATACACAGGAAGAGTTAGATATCCACGAAGATGGATGTAAAATCAATCAGGTTCTCGTATTCCCCCCGGAAGGAACAACAGTACACTTTGAAAATTTTAGTCATACGCATTCCAACGAATATATCGGTGTATTTGATTTCGAATGTGCATTAGACACCACTCTCCCGGCAGGTAAAATTGAGTCTCGTCATAAAGCCATTGCCTATTGTTATATTATATTTGATCGCAAAGGAGAAATAGTGTGTATAAAGAGTTATAAGGGGGAGGATGCTGTTAATCATTTCATTTTAAATGTTAGTGGTGAATGGAATAAAATAAAGTTTAGAAGACAGTATCATGAAATCCATATGACAGAGGAGGATGAGATGAGACATGATTCTCAGAACACTTGTGAATTATGTGGTAACACCTTCAAAAAACCCAAGGACAAACATAAACACCATGACCATACTTTAAATTTCAATAATTATATTGGAGCCTATTGTGCACGTTGTAATATGCAGTGTAAAGACAAGAGAGAGAAATTATTGCTTTTTTGTCATAACATGTCGTATGATTTAGGAATAATTTTAAAGGAATTGAATGTTGATAAATATAACGTTGAAATTCATCGAAAAAAAGGATTCAAAATTCTTGAAAGTAGAGATAGGTAAGGTTAGGTTTCAGGATTCACTGTCTTTATTGAATGGATCTCTTTCCACGTTAGCAGATCAACACATCAAGGCGGGTAAAATCCCTGAAATATACAGAGACTATTCTGAAAGATGTACCTCGAGATGTCTTACCTTTATTATGTAAAGGAAAACAAATTTTGTGTTATGATTATATTGATAGTTTAAAGAAGCTCGACGAAACAAAATTACCCAGTAAAGATCATTTTTTTAATTCTTTGAGAAATAGCGCTATCAGCCAAGAAGATTATGAACATGCATTGAAAGTGTTTGAGTTGGGTAAATGTAAGACTTTAGGAGATTACTTGATGTTATATCTCAAGACAGATGTTGGTTTGTTAGCCGATGTCTTCATGGAGTGGCGTAAAACACTCAAGGATATTTATAAGTTAGACGTTAGTAATTATATAAGTTTACCATCATTCAGTTGGGATGCATTCCTATTGAAAACTAATGTAAGATTAGATATGATATATTCCCATGAATTATATGACTTGATTAAAAGGAATCTCAGAGGTGGGTTTACCTGCGCAATTAATCAGTATTCTAAAGCAGATAATCCCCTAATTAACCCTAATTTTGATGTTGAGAGTGGAATGGGCACTCATATTCTATATCTAGATTTCAATTCTTTGTATGCTAGTGCGATGGTTGAAGCTCTTCCACAGAATGGCATCAGAAAATTATCGAATGACGAGAAGAATGCTTTCCTCGATGTGGGATTTAAGTAATGTTTCCTGTGAAGGTCAAAAGGGATATTGGATAGAATGTGATACCAAGCACATATCCCCCGAGGTAGCTAGACTCACTGATGAACTTCCTTTAATATTATCACATATGAATATATCAGAAGAGATGTTATCTCCTTATTGTGAATCTATATTGAAAAATGAAGGTAGAAAGATCCCAAATCTAATGGGAAATTAGTGGGCAGTCATTTATCTCAGAAAATTATTTGATCAGTCTAGAATTGTTACAGTTATTACTGGAACTTGTGTTAGAGGTGGAAAAGGTTCATACCATATATGAATATACACAGACAAAATTTTTAGAACCTTTCATATCAACTAATATTGCACAGAGAACAGCTACACGATGTCCTATCAAGTCAAAAGCCTTCAAAAATTAACTAATAACGCCATATATGGGAAATCATTGCTGAATATTACAAAGTATGTTGAGAAATATAGATATATCAATAATGAGAAAGCATTTATTAGAGCGAGTAAAGATCCTTTGTTAAAAAATATCACACATTTAAATCAAGATAGAGTGATTTGCACATTCAATAAAGATATATTAGAAGTTAAACAACCACTTTTATCTCGGTTTTCAAATTCTTGAGATTGCTAAAAAGAAATTGTATCATTTTTGGTATAAAGTTTTAAAACAGCATTATGGTGATGATGTAAGACTTCTTTATACCGATACTGACTCGTATATTTTTAGCTTGAAATGTAAAGATTTGTACACCGAGTTAAAAAGTGAACCATTGTTAGGTTATATGGATTTTTCAAATTTCAGTCCTGAGCATCCCTTATATGATGATAGTAGAAAATGGGAGCTGGGGTTATTGAAATCTGAAATGTGTGATAACCATATTAGTGAGTTGATAGCCCTGAAAGCTAAAATGTATTCTGTCAAGATTGCTGGAAGATCAACTACTGTCAGCAGAGCCAAGGGTATTCCTTCACATTTTATGCCATTATTAACACATGCAAGATATAAGAATGTTTTATCAAATGTAGATAGAGAATTATTCGCGTGTAAGTCTATAAGTAATGTAAAAGGTGAAATATGTACAGTAAGAATTAATAAGAGAGGTTTGTCAGCCTTTGATGATAAAAGATATCATTTGAATACTAATGAATCCTTGGCTTATGGACACCCTGATATTCCACCATCTAAACGTAGGAGAATAGAGTGATGTATTACCAGAAATGGCTGTATAATAAATGAAAATAAAAATATTGTGTATTAGTGTTATCCTGAAATGTGTCTTTCTGATGATGAAAATGTTTTCCCTATGATGTAGGTACTATGTCCCCTTATTAACTTTAATGAACTAAAAGGGTCGTCATGATTCAACCGGGTCGACAAGTTTCAACCTGTGTGCGCGTGACGTCACTACTATGTCCCCTTATTAACTTTAATGAACTAAAAGGGTCGACAAGATTCAGCTTGTATGTGTGACGTCACTGACCGCCGAGTAAACACCCTTCATAGTTCATTTGACTTGTTTAGATCTGTAGTAAGCATGCTTACCCCCAGAGGGGGGAATCCAAAAACTTGGTAATATTGAGAAATTTTTGGGGGGTTGGGGGGGTGAAAGTGGGAGGGGGATCCGAGGAAGTGGAGACTTTGATTTCGAGAAATTTTTGGGGTTGGGGGGTGAAAGTCGGAGGGGGAACCTTAAAAACTTGATCCGAGGAGATGGAGAGCACAACAAAATGAAATTCAAAAAAAAATCGAAAAAAATCGGAAAAAAATTAGGGGCGCGGGGGCGATCCGGACGACGCTGCAGAAGGCGCAGCAGAAGGCGCGGGCGGGGGTCGCGAAGGGCGCGGGCGGGCGCGCGGCGCGACGGGGGGTCGCAAAGGGGGTTCGTGGGCGGGGGTATTGGTTGGGGGGGTCAAGGGTGAGGTAGTCTCGAGGGCGAGGTCAAGGTCAAACCTGAAGTAACACCTAGGTGTGAAAAGGGGATGCCTCAGAAGAAGGTCCTAGACCGGATACACCGCTCAGCCGCACCCATAAACCGGATACACCGCTCAGTGGAAGGCCCTAAACCGGATACACCTCTCAGCTGCATTTTTTGACTACTTATATATATATATATATATATATAATATATAATATATATATATATATATATTATATATATATATTGTTGAGAAATGGGTTATCAGCTAAGTTTAAACAGTGAAAACTTAATTTAGAAAGACAACTCATCGCCTGCACAGCCGCCCCTGCAGACGAGGTCTTGAGAAGCTGTCGAAGTCATCTCTCAACGGGCTGTAAAGAGTTATAATTTGTAAGATTATAAATTACCCCTAGGGGGTATTATGTCAGCATATTTCATTCACTGACAAATTACGTACTTGTTTGGACTCAAAAGACCGCACCTTACTGCCGACTATAGGTTGATTACAAACTCCTTGCGACTCAAGAGCTGCGCAGTCCCCCATACTGCAAGAAATTCGTAACCTACCTTGCTCTTGTAGCGTGAGCTATGGTGTTCTTCACACCTTCGACAGGTATCGGTGACTTGATAGAAGCTGAAGTGTCCTTGGATGTCCACGTCTTCCATAGTCTAGGAATACGCACACTGGTACACTATGTTCCACAAGATTTGTCTTTATTGTTCACAATCTTATCACTAAAGAAGCTGATCACAAGGAAGGTTGATCACACTTCCCAGGATCAAGAACAAGGAAGGTTGACCACACTTCCCAGAATCAAGAACAAGGAAGGTTGACCACACTTCCCTGGATCAAGAACAAGGAATGTTGACCACACTTTCCAGGATCAATAACTAGGAAGGTTGACCACACTTCCCTGGATCAAGAACAGGGAAGGTTGATCACACTTCCCTGGATCAAGAACAAGGAAGGTTTACTACACTTCCCTGGATCACGAACAAGGAATGTTGACCACACTTCCCAGGATCAAGAACAAGGAAGGTTGACCACACTTCCCTGGATCAAGAACAAGGAAGGTTGACTACACTTCCCTGGATCAAGAACAAGGAATGTTGACCACACTTCCCAGGATCAAGAACAAGGAAGGTTGACCACACTTCCCTGGATCAAGAACAAGGAAGGTTGATCACACTTCCCGGAATCAAGAACAAGGAAGGTTGACCACACTTCCCTGGATCAAGAACAAGGAAGGTTGACCACACTTTCCAGGATCAAGAACAAGGAAGGTTGACCACACTTCCCGGAATCAAGAACAAGGAAGGTTCACTACACTTCCCTGGATCAAGAACAAGGAAGGTTGACCACACTTCCCTGGAGCAAGAACAAGGAAGGTTGGCCACACTTCCCGGAATCAAGAACAAGGAAGGTTGACTACACTTCCCTGGATCAAGAAGGAAGGAAGGTTGACCACACTTCCCTGGATCAAGAACAAGGAAGGTTGACCACACTTCCCGGAATCAAGAACAAGGAAGGTTGACCACACTTCCCTGGATCAAAAACAAGGAAGGTTGACCACACTTCCCTGGATCAAAAACAAGGAAGGTTGACCACACTTCCCTGGATCAAGAACAAGGAAGGTTGACCACACTTCCCAGGATCAAGAACAAGGAAGGTTGACCACACTTCCCAGGATCAAGAACAAGGAAGGTTGACCACACTTCCCTGGATCAAGAACAAGGAAGGTTGATCACACTTCCCGGAATCAAGAACAAGGAAGGTTGACTACACTTCCCTGGATCAAGAACAAGGAAGGTTGACCACAGTTCCCTGGATCAAGAACAAGGAAGGTTGACCACACTTCCCTGGATCAAGAACAAGGAAGGTTGACCACACTTCCCTGGATCAAGAACAAGGAAGATTGATCACACTTCCCGGAATCAAGAACAAGGAAGGTTGACCACACTTCCCTGGATCAAGAACAAGGAAGGTTGACCACACTTCCCAGGATCAAGAACAAGGAAGGTTGACCACACTTCCCAGAATCAAGAACAAGGAAGGT